ATATAATTTAAAAATAAATAACCAAATATTAAATAATTTTAACCATAATTATAATTAAACACAACCACAAATACAACTATAAACATGGTACCTTAAAACAATCCCAAACACCTTTAATCCCTAATTTGGTCCCTCTACTTTTTGAGAAATGGTGCAAATAAGAATGTGAACTTTGCATTTTTTTCTATTTGAGGATGTTAACTATGTTAATTTTTAAATAAAGATATAAACTTTCAACTTTTTTAATTTAAGGATCTTAACTTTTAATTTTTTTACTTAAGGATGCCAACTTTTAACATTTTAGTTAAAAAATCCATTTCTCATATTAACAGTATCATCCAATTAATTCTTAAATAAAAAAAATTAAAAGTTGTACCCTTAAATAGAAAAAATTAAAGTTAACATCGTTACATAAACAAAAAATCTAAAGTTGACATCCTTATTTACCCCTTTTCTCTCCACCTTTTAGTTCGATTTTGATAAGCTTTGGGTTTCCCATCTCTATTTTGCACTTTTACGATACTTCGATACTTCGATAGGGGTGATCTCAAGGCCACCTTCCAAAAGAGGATTTCTCCCCTTTTTTTTTTAGCAAGTATAAATTTCAAGAAATGTGGAGATTTGAACCAACATTATATTGATAAAAGTGCACTTTCAAAATTGACTGCTAACTAGTAGGTGCCTAGGGCCAAGTGTGCCACAAGTGAAGTGGATTGAAGTAAATTAATTTATTTAGACGTTAATCTCACTACTTGTATTCAAAAAAACATTATTTCTCTATACCTATACTTTGGGTATTGGCCTCAAAGATTTAGAATTTCTTTCATATAACAATTAAAATTTAGTGAATGACAGTAGTAAGTAGTGGATGTCAATTAGTGGTTATCAAATAGTGAAAAGTGGATTGTAAATAATAGATAGTAGATTTGATTAATATAATTGTTTGGATATATAACAGTTAACAGTTGTTATTCAAAGTTAAATGACTAATAAGGATATGTTTAAAAGCAATTAAGTGTTTTTTTTTATATTTTTATTATTAACATTATTAATTTTATAATAATAATAATAAATAAAATAAATTATAATAGTATAATTACACACCAATTTTAATTTTTTGTAAAGAAAAAATTATATTATTTTTAGATAAAGAAAAAAATTTTCAATTTTTTGTCTAATTAGCAAATTTTGTTAAATTAACATACTTTTTTACGATAAATTAATGTAAAAAATAAAAATATAATAATCACTTAAGTTATTAAACATAAAAAATAAAGTTGAGATGAATTAGATAAGTTGTAATACCCCGAAATTTCTAGAATATTAAAGTGAGTTAGGGACTTAATTGTGAAGAAATATTATTGAGAGGCTTAATAGTCAAAATTTTAAAAGTTGAGGGACTTAAAAAAAGAAAGGAAATTAGGATAAGGATCAGCTGCCTTCCTTTTCCTTTTGTTTCTTTCTTTCTTTCTTCTTCCAGCCGCGTGTTCTGCTCTTCCCGTTCCCTGCAGCCCGAAAGAAGGACCCAAGCAGCCACCGACTCATTTCTTGAGAAATTGGTGACCAAGCTTGGGATTGTCTCCTTCTTTTCTTGATAAGTAAGATTTGGGGCTTAGAATCTTCTCCCTCAACCCAGAAAATCCCGGATCTGCTCTGCTCTTCTCCCCTGTCCGTCGGCTGCTATGTGGGTGTGAGATTTTGGGCTTTTTCTGGTAAGATTTAGCCATGAATCCCTCTCTTTAACCTTGATTGAGGTTGGGTTTACTTTAATTGCTTTTATTCCCTTCCAATTTTTGGTAGAGCCGTGAGCATCCTCCTGCAATTCCGTCAGCCCCCATGCTCGCCTGGTGCGGGTTCTGCTGGCCGGAAAAAAAGAGAGGAATTCCGGTATGTGCTAGCTTCTCCAAGGCTGAATTTTACCCATTTAGTAGTTGAAATTTATACATGTAGCTGCTGCCTTCTTGTCCGAATTTTCTGTCGAAACAGGGGAAGAATTGGCAGTAAATTAAATGTGTTTTAAGCTTGATTATGTAGAATTTAGCTTGAATTAGCTGCTGTGATGTTTTGTGTGAGAAATCCCGTTTGTGAGTGTGGTTTTGCCGAGCCATTTTCTCCATTTTTCTATCCCGGGAGTTGGAAGCCATATGCATGGGTGTTGTGTGTGTATATATATATATATATGTAATTGTGTATATATATATATATAATACACAATCCGGTTGTGATGCCCAATTTTGAAGAAAATAAATAAATAAATAAAGAAATAAATGTCGTGTTATGGGGGAAATTTTGGTGGCTTAAGCTATGTTTTTAAGCTTGGTTTAAGTGTAAATTAGCTTAAAATGGGTTGTTGTGATTTTGGAGAAAAATCCCGTGAGATTTGTTATTGTTTTGTCAATTTTGGAAGTCGAAGTTACTGTTTACTGTACTGTTCATGTGTACTGTTTATGGATACTGTTCACGGATACTGTTCACACACCGAGGGCCAATAATTAACGGGAATTTAAATGTTTAGTTTGTAATATAAGAATAAATTTGGAGATATCCGATTATGTGGAGACGGATAGAAATAGCATCGTGATTAGGGTAGTCCTAATGATGATTTCACTTTGAATTTGTGGTAGTGCGGTATTAAATGTGGAATATTGTGATTAGGTTTTGATCGTTCTGTCACTGTAGCACTTGGGTTAAGCCTTCTGTTCTGTGCGAGTGAAGTAAGTAAATTATGGTAAAGTCCGTCGATTTTAAAGCATGTTTTAAATTGTTTTTGAGATGGTGGTAAGGTTTAAATTGAGTTTAAATTGATTTTATCAACGTCTGAGTGTGATTAAACTGAAATGACAATTTTGACGATTTTTATGAAAATTTTTTTTTTTTTTGGAATTGAGCCTGATTGGAATGAAAATGAGGATTTCATTGTTTTTCTGAAGTAGAGCATGCCTATTTGGAACTTACTGAACTGCTCT